TGAATGATCATTACATGTTGTTTGAGGTGAGTTTGTCTAAACTTCTACACACTTTGTGGGGAAAAAGCTTTTTTTTTTCTTATGTGAGGATCTGTTCTGGAACTGTATATGGACTGAATGCACTTTGTTTGGTATTATTATAAAAACCTCTACTAGATAGATCAAAATTTGAACAATGAAAATTATTTAAATGGGACGCAAATGCCCTTTTAAAAACATCACCCAATAATAAGAGGTAGTTTCAAAATTCAACACAGGTAATTCTGCAATTTATATTGTTGTTATCGCTCCAATGAATTACAACCAGAGCAAAACTGAACTTCAAAACTTACCACAAATTAATATCACACTTTTACACTACACAAAAATGCTATTTTCTACGTTTACTTCCCCCCGCCCCGAATATTGTGTGTGATTTGAGTGGGTGTTTGTGTGTCTGTGCGTAAGTGTGCGCGTGCATGTGTGTGTGTGTGTATGATCCTATACTTGACCTATGCTGCCCTGTTCACACCTGTCCTGGTCTGGTCCTTATTTCTGGGTTTAGATGGTTTTCCAAATGAAATCATTGCATTAGAAAACATTGGTAACATTTAAACACATTATATTCCTGAAGCTAAAGTCTATTACAAACACAGGCAGGACCCGAACATTTCAAGAATATCCTATTGTTTATTTTAGTTAAATAAAAACATTGAAAGGCAATTGTCGTATGGCACAGACGAGTAAAAACATAGTCAAGATAAGTTACATATACTCTACTACACCCGTCCGTCTATTTATGAGGACAATTGTTGTATTTCTAATCTATCCTGAAGAAGAAGTACTGTATGTAGTATGTACATCATGTCTTCTGTCTCTTTGTTTGTCTAAAGCCTAATGGTTTGAACTATAAGAATAAACAAATGTAATATAATGAAGATATCAGGGTAATGCTGAAATTCACTTTGTGCTATAAAAAACTGTTTAGCAAAATATATCCTGTATTTTCATTTTCTTTGCAACAGTGGTGAGATTTTGGTTATACCCAGCCTACCCTGCAGGGCATTGTAATCATCTGTGTGTGTGCGTGTGTGTGTGTGTGTGTGTGTCTGTGTGCCTTTCTCTCCTGGTAGGATTGTGCAAAAACTAGGACCTGATAAAACATTAGAGATGATCTGTTCTAGTGCACATTTTCCTTTTTATGTTTTAATGTAACATTATTTGTTAATATTTACGTCTGCATAAATCTGAAACATCTGCATAGGAAACTTATGGCACTAAGGAGTTCAACTCAATTCAATGTATTCTTGTATAGCCCGAACTCACAACAGTAGTTATCTCAGAGGACTTAACAAAACCTATGAATTCATCAAGACAGATCAGAGAATCAACAAATCAAACTCACAAAATCCAGTGATAAAAACCAAATAGAGCCATTGGTCCATAAGGGGCAGATGACCGATGTCCATAAATGTTGTTGAAGTATAATTATCAACAGTTGTGTGTCTGCAAATTGGCTATAACGTACAATCGGAGAGCACATACCACACCAATACTGCCGGTCGCAACATTTGAATGAGGCCTTCACATCTACACACCAAATAGAGAAAATTAATTGATCAAATACTCACGTTGCACACACAGTTTAGCACCTGGTTTGAGACATATACCCCTAAGTAAGTACTAAACTGAGGAATGTCTAGAAAGTGCATGAATTAAAGACATTTCAGATTTAGTTTGTAGATGTCTTCAGCAGGATCTCACTCATATTTACTGCTATTGCTATTTGCTAATTTCTTATAAAATGTTGGATTGGATTATGACAAATCTGTCAGATTTGTGAGCTGCGCTGAGGTGAAGGAGTGTGGATCCTTGAGCCCGCCTTCTCCGCCAGCCTTCCTCCTCCCCCGCCGCTTCCCCCTCCCTCCCCTCTGTCTCATTTAGCCACTGTCTGCTCGCTCACAGCTTTTTTCTCCCTCTGAGTGACAGCATATGGCACTGTGGAGAGGACCGGCCGCTCCAACTGCCTTCCATGTCTCTGTGTGTGTGTGTGTGTGTGTGTGTCTGTGTGTGTCCTGTGCTGATTTTACTGTGATTTTTGTTAGAAAGATGCAGCATTTTATCCTGAATGTTATGTCTGGGTGTGTGTGTGTAATGAACAAATTGTTTTCAATGATAAAAATTTAGTAACTTTGTATTAAATTTCTAACTCACTTAAAAGCAAAATAATATTATTAAAATGCATTCATGTTTGAAGAGATTTTGAGTTCAAGGCCCTAACCCTAACTATCCCATTTTGCACTTTCATCGGTACAACCACTGTTCTTTAATGACTTTGTTTCCTGATATAAAATCTAAAATACACTCATGAATATTATGCTTTAGCACACCATCATTTTGGCTCAAATGACCTGTGACCTGCCACATCAGAAGGTGATGTCACGCAGGAGCAAATCTATGAGGAGATTTTCATTATTGAAGTATTGTCTCATGAATTCTATCAATAAACATTGAGATGGTGATCAAAACATTATGAGTGATCCTCAGGCTTAAGAGATTATTTTCATACATCAGAATAAAACACACTGTATGTTTTGTTATTCTATAATGAGCCATGATTTAAAGTTGTTCAGTTTGAATTGCACAGAATCGGGTTTCTAAAAGTGGAAGTTCACATAACTGAAGAGATTACATTATTTTCACAAGCCACATGAGCAAACGTGGGTAAGAGTGTTACTATTTGTATTTTAGTGATGCTCAGAAAGTAGAGCTAACAGAGACAACAGAGGGGGTGCCAAAGGAACCTAATGTCATGTACATTCAAATGAGGAAGCTGGAGGACTAGAGAAGACAGAATGTGTAGTTGTTACTCACAAAATCATGTGCTGCTAAGTCTTTCTTCATTTATTTAGTCTTTGTAAAGTAAATGGAAAGAACATATGTTATGTTCCCTGATTCCAGAGGCCTTTTTACTTCAAACACTCAGAAACTAAAAATGATGTGAATGTTTTGTGATTGGATAATGATATATTTTATTTGAGCAGAGACAGTAAACATGAATTATTATACACCTTCATACTTTAGTAAATGTGTCCACTGTTTTCATGATCAATCTTTATATTATTATTATTTTGTATTCCTCTTTGGTGAATATTTTTGCATGATGGTTCACACATTTGAGATATTACCATATATATATATATATTATATATATATATATATATATATATATATATATATATATATATTTATGTTTATATTTGCTAAGAATATATATTCTCTCCAAATTCCAACACTATTTCAATGCTCACACACAGCTCTACTCACAGCTACACCACCTTTAACACATTAAATTTATTGAATATCATTAATCATTTACCAATATAGTCAGTTTTTATGTCTTTTATGCACTGCAAACTGCCCGGAACCTTCTTCTACTATATTATATACACATAAGTCTTGTTGTAATGCATTCCTTTGTTTTCAGCCCATATATGTCAAAGGCATTATTTACATTTGCAGCTCTAAACTCCTTATTTCCCACCTTGTATACAGCCGTGCACTTAGGCGGACTAGGCAGCGAGCGCAGACCCATGGGGGAATGTCTATTCTGGCTTATCCCCAGGTGGACTGCGAGCCGGTTTAGAGCTAAGGCTTATAATATGTTCCACTATATGAGATCCACACTCGTACAATCTGTAATTAAAGTCTAAAGTATGACCTTGTTACAATATCTATACGTACTGTTGAAGATTTAGTTGTGGATTTTGAAGTGCTGTACAAAGCATTTATATAGTGTAGTATCAAATCTGAAATATGTGAATTTCATGTAATGTCTATGAAAAGATAACTTTAAAACTATTGCATGGGAGATATGCTCTGTATGTGTGTGTATGTGTCCGCATAACTGTGTGCGTATGTCTGCATGTGTGTGTATGTGTCCGCATGTATGTGTGCGTATGTCTGCATGTGTGTGTATGTGTCCGCATGACTGTGTGCATGTGTCTGCATGTGTGTGTATGTGTCCGCATGACTGTGTGCGTATGTCTGCATGTGTGTGTATGTGTCCGCATGACTGTGTGCGTGTGTCTGCATGTGTGTGTATGTGTCCGCATGTGTGTGTGCGTATGTCTGCATGTGTGTGTATGTGTCAGCATGACTGTGTGCATGTGTCTGCATGTGTGTGGATCTGTTAAGTCCATGAAGTGGCTCCATCAGGCTGTCCTGGGTTGAGTGGCTGAATTCATAAGTCTGATTAATTTTCTTTGCCATTTGCAGTAAAACCCCATTGGAATAGCCCATTGGAGCAAAAATACCCCAGTGTGCACCAGACAGATATATACAATGAAACAAGCTACACAATCTAATTACAATATTATTATTATTTTATTTATTTTAAATGAATAGAAATTAAAAGATACAATAATAACAACAATGTGAATGAAAAGGAGCGGAAAGAAGTAAAAACATCATCAACATAAGATGATAAATATCTTTTTGGCCCAGTCTGGCAAACCCTGCTTGTGATTTGAATATTAGCGTTTCAGTTCACCTTCAGTCATCCATATGAAGTCATTGCTACAGATGTGTTTCAAATATGCCTTTTGAATCTTGGTTTAAAACCTAAATAACAAATCTAATCACAGCCGTGAAGAGATTCCAAGATTTCCATTGTTTAAAAAAGTACTGAACACGTTTGAGCTTGTACATTAACAATGAAAACATATTAGTCCGCCTCTACACTGTTTTGATATCTCGTTTATCCGTTGAATCCACTGGGGATCTAGCGTACACACACTCAGACGGCAGCGTGTGACAGAAACCTCTTCATTAGCGCATGCAGCTCCGATTATTTACCGTGGCTGTCTGCTCCACGCTCCCACGGGCCCTGTGCGTTTAGCCAGCGCACAATGGACCAGAGAACGGCTGCTTCACTCCAGAACGTCTTTGTGGCAAATAACCTTGGTGAGGAGTGGCGCGTACAGTCCGTGTGCAAGGTGCTTTTGTCACAGTGGTGGTGGATGAAGAGAGTGGGGACGGTGGGGGAGGGAGGCGGAGGGGGCTTCATTTACTCGGTATGAAGATTCAATGTATTAACTGCAACATTTGATCAAAGCTGTTCTGAGAAAAGTGGATAAGGGCCCATTCAGTTTTTATTAAAAAATATATAAAGTTGTAATCCAGTGGACACATACTATACTTTAAAAGGTGCTCTTAAAGATGAGGCAGGGCCGACCCAATGTTCAAGTGAAAGCTTTTTAAGTCCTTCTTCATCTTATTCAGGGTTGTCCAATACGTTGATCATGATTTAGCGTCCGTGTGCAAAGGGAGGGTGGGTAGCTCACATGGCATGCAGGGTTTTGGCCTCACTACATGTGTTTTTCATCATACGCCTGACATTTACAGTGGCATAAAAAATGGCATACAGCCTCAACATTAGTCTTCACATGCATAAATGTTTGCCTGCTTGCACAACAGTTATTACCCCATGGATTACCAGTGCACCCCCAACAAGTTCTCAATTAGCCCAATATGGTTTTAGATACAAGACCACAAAGTTTGTCTGTTAGTTAATTATCATGTATGGAATCCTCTGAATAAGTCTAGCGATAATCTATAGAGTAAAAACAACAAACGAGACATCCTGATTTCTCTCTGTTAAAAAGTTAAATCATCTGAGCAAGGACACAGTGGAAATGAAAAAAGCATGGTTGAATCTCCAGATATGTCTCTTTCAGTCCCACATTTTAGATTAGTTTAAGACGTTTATGGGTCTCACTTCATATACATTTAACCATTTCTACACAATGTGTTCACTGCTTAATGCAAAACGCTCCTTCTCATAACATCTACACACTGCAGATCAAAATACTGTACTGTAGGTTCTTTGATTAAATGCACTTTAGTCAAAGACAATTGTAGGACATGCTCACACACGGTTTACAGTCCGTCCTGGTGTCGTTCTCCGTTTTACATTCAGCTGCTTGTACTCTGTCTCGGAGCCATTATCGATATATGCTCAAAGCGCAGTGGTTGGAGAATTATTATGCTGGAGTGTGGTGGTGTTGAGGTTGTTGTGTGCACATAAGCATCCTCACAAGTCAGTTTGGGTTACAACTCCTCCAACTGTTCTGTACATGGTGTAAGTGAAGTGGCCAGTTGCTGTATTTTGTGACTCCAGCAGAGAAACGTACATTACAGGTGTGTAGTGTAAAGAAGGGAACAAGGATGGGGCCTAAATGCAAAAACACTTTGATTACGTGTGGTTAATCAATGCACTTAAAAGATGACTCAAAAATGCACACAATCCTGCAATGCGCCGGCAGTACCAAAAACATAGGAATATCTGACTATAAGTGAGCCCTTGACAAACGGCCGACACATGTATTATAGAAGAAGAAGAAGGAGAAGATATACTTTATTAATCTCACAATGGAGAAATTCTGTTCAATGAATAGTCATATACACATTTTACTGTACATCACGGCATGCAGCCTAATAGGCAAAGTGGGGTAAAGTGTCTTGCCCAAGGACACACACTTTACAACATACAGCGGTGGGAGTCGGTGAAGAAGGTCTTGCGGTGTCAGGTTTTTTTTCTGTGCAGATGTGAGCTCAGATCAAACAGCAAGATTTAAACATTTGGACCAAACGTCATCTTTAATGCCAACAAATTAAGATTTCCCAAGCTTGCATGAATCAACCTCAAAACAACTTGGGGTGGGGCAGTAAGAAGGGAAAACAATTATAACGTGGGTAAAATCTCCGAAAAGTTGAATCACCGCAGAAGATCCCCTTTGATCCTCTTTGAAGTCGCGCTTGCCTCTTGTCGCACATCTTCACACAATCCTTTCTTTTACGGTGTTCACGTCTAAAAAACAGTCAAAGAGTGCATCGCTGGGCACTGCCAGGAAGAAAGCCGTGCAATCTTCTGACACCTCCGCTGTTCATTATCAGAGCTCACCTCGGGGGACGCCTGTTGACTTTACACACTCCAAAATGAGCCGTTTCACCGGACAAACCCAATTCCAGCACGCTCTGTCGGGGGAGCGAGGCCAAGCGCACACCCCAGCCTAATTTACTAAGTCTTATTTTAGAATTGTAAATGAAAGCGCTTCATATCGCCCTGGCACCAAGTTCGTGTTTGGCACGTTAGACAGGTTCACGTGCAGTTCAGGCGTCTCCATTATCACATTACACAAACAATCGGAACAAGCAACAATGTCAAGTTTTTGTGAAGATTTTGTCAGATTCATTTCCAGATTTGGTTAGATGATGTTTTGGAAAGAATTAGTTGTATTATTCAGTGCGACGTGGACCAGAAAGCAGTAGTCTACGAGGCCAAAGTCAAGGACGATGGTAGAGAGAGCAAAGTGGTTTGTGGGTTGAGTCTCATTAGCGCTGTTCCAATACGCTTTTTCTGCATTGTCTGTGTCTTTTATGTTTTTGTTTTTCATTGTTGCTGTAGGAATGTTGTTAATTGTCACATGATGTAGTCTAAATTACCCTGAACATAGCGGTCGACATGTTACCTTGATTTTCACACAGATAATGACACAGAACCTGGACAATAATACAACTTGAACTTTTGCTCATGTTTGCAATCCCAATGGTAGAAATGTTTTGTTTTGTTTTGAAGATCATATTACAAAAGTTAGTTAGAGAAGTCTTTATGTTTCTGCTCATAAACATAACAACATTTTTAATTATCTTATTTTTGTAGTGCACATATTGATCTTATTTTAATGGCTTTATCTTCCACCAGGTTATCCTGGTTCAGAAAGCATCTTTTGTTCAAATACTCATTAAGTAAGTAAGTAGTCTTGATTTGTTTAGCAGATTTAACAGTGGTAAACTTAGGAGATTGGTCTTTTGACTCAAAGATTCAGTCTGAATTCCAGCCATTTGAACTCACAGATGCAATTAGATTTGGGTAAATGAATGAAATTTTATGCACATAATTTTATATATTATTGAGTGTATTTTTTTATCTGCTGAAAATACATGAATTTACTTGAAAATTCAATAGAAATGTTCCTTTCAATTAAAGAGAAAAAGTGATTTTTCAGCAGTTCTGTTTGCATTGTTAAATCAGTCAAACTCACACACAAAAATGCACAATTTAGCCCAATTATTTTTGCTTGACTTGATATTGCCTGAAAAGACATTTCCATTTGTGTTCGTAAATATCATCCTCCCCCTGAAGCAGCAGCGCTTGTGTACGTCGTAGAATGAAAATGTTTTCAATTCATTATAACTTTCACATTAATTACAAAACACTGCACTCCGAGCTGCTTTTAAGACCGCTTTGTCCGACCCTAGAGGCAAACTTTTGTGCTGTCAGTTTGACGTTTATCGGGGCCTCACGTCCACTTAAACTCCTCTGCTCGTCCATATGTACAGTAGCGGTGCAGGCTTCATACGTGTAGTCGGTGCCTCCCACATCTTTAAATGGATCCCGCGGGTGCTCTGCTGCTGCGCCTGTTGTTTCCATTATTCCTCTCCGATTGTGGGGAATGTGTGTGTTAGTGTGTGTGTATGTATGAGCGTGTGTGTGTGTTTGCTTGTGTTAGTTTGTGTGTGGGTGTGTATGTGTTTGTGTAGTGAGGGGTCAGCACATGCCGGTTGGAGGGGCCGCAAACATTTTAGGTCAGAAGAAATGGATGTGAAGTTGGTTAGGAGTGTGCAGAGTGTGATTGTGTCGGTGAAAATACATGGAGAGTTTTGAGTTTTAAGTTCTTCAACATTGTGCCAGATGCGATTGTATGAAACAAACAAATTCTTAGTCTGCTATGGCACCACAATTATCTAGTGGTGTTTTTCTGTAGTCATACATTTTAGTCTATACAGTATATTGGTCTAAAAATCTTAAACAATTGATTTGGTTCATCAGATGATTACAACAAAGTGCTGACTTGGCACCAGATCAAAGAGCAGAGCGGAAAACAACAAAATAAAACTATATTTAAGAAGGTCAAATGTATTTATTTTTATATTAATCTGACAGGGAAAAACTTGCAAAGTGCAGCTTTTAGAGTCAAGAACATAATTCTTATGTGATTCAATGTATTTTGATTGATTCAAGCAGCAGTTCAAGGTTAGTAACATGTTGTTCTAATCTCTTAGAACTTTCCAAGTCAAATCCGAGCACCAAGCACCACCTGAAAAATAACAAAAATACCATACGGTACAAGCAATCTAGCCTTGAATGCAAAATAATATATATTACTCAAACAGCATGTAACAGTCTAAAGCAGGTATGTCAAAGTCAAATACATCAGAGGGCCAAAAAAACAAATTTGCTGTGAGCCGAGGGCCGGACTGGTTTAATGTTTATTAACTCATTGCCTGCCAGCCTATTTCAGAACAGGTACTCCCATATTGCCAGCAGTTTCTGATGATTTTTATAGATTTTTCAAGACCCACAGAATATTGTGTACTATGATCTGAAATCCGAAACCAGATTCTGAAAGAATAGACTGTGTACTTTCATCAGCAAAAAGAATTTTGTTTCTAGCTTGTAATCCCCAGTTGAGTAGAGGGAAGTTTTACTGAAATCACCAAAAAGCTGAGAAAAAAGAGGCACAACAAGTGCATCTAGCTGTTTTCAAAGCATTCAGAGAGCGCTGCTGCCACCTGCTGGCTCGATTCAATATGCTCTCAAGCTTATCCCCAAACATATTAGATATAATAGACATCTGGAAACATGAAAATAGCGGACCTTGACTTTGACACATGTAGTCTAAAGCAACTTTTTGAACAATGATAACAGTTTAAAAGTACCACACACAAGTCATAAATCAACATCTTAATGTTACTACAGCTGCAAGCCTTTCCTTTCACATTCCTCTGATGTATCTGGGCTGTACATGCATTTTTCTCACAAAAAATGACATGATGAAAAGAAAATGCATGTATACAGCACGTGCCTTATAAGTGTGCCAAGCCTCGGGACCGGGGACAAGACTTGTCATTCTGTCAGTTCGGCCTAACGCTGCTCCCCAGAGGCACCTGAGGGAGACCCAGCCCGTACCCACTGCCCACCCACTGCCCGCCCACAGCCCTCCCCACCACTACTGGAGGCCTGTGACAGCGCGCTCTGCAGAGAACACATGTGCACTGACAGACGACTGCAGACACGTGGCCTACAGACTCTGAGCCACTACGACACCAGAGGAGGGGAACAGTAGGACTGTATAACGGGATCCTCAATATCATAATAACATTTGAATTATCACTAGTTTAGTGTAAGATCTTTTTAGTGACATTTATTCTGTGTTTACTTCACTCCTCCAATTATTGTCACTGTTGGCTTTTCAGACTTTGTTTTAATCTGTGAGAGGATTTGGCAGAACACACAGCCATTCACCGCAGACAGCGCTCCTGCAGTTGTTCTTCACTGCTTTCCCGAGGCTGGTGCCGCCGGGAACAAAGTATTTAGCTCGTAGCTGTAATATAACTGCACATATTTTCATATTAACGCGTTACGCTACAGCTTTTGTCAAATTGAAATGTAATGTAACAGTAATGCGTTACCCAATAACATTACATTACACATGTTGCTTGTTGTAAGTCAGAACTAAGTATTCAAACTGCAATTTACAAAAGCTATGTGAGCTATGTACAGGGTTGGGTAAGTTACTGTAGACATTTAATTAGTACCAAATTACTAGTTACGTCCCAAAAAATTATTCGTTCCATTATCTACTGCCCTGAAAAATTAACTAAGTTACATTACTTTTGGATTACTTCATGTCACAAAAAACAACATAATCCGGTTTGTATGTTTGCGTTATTAAAGCTTTATTAAAATACTTACAACCCATCACTGTAAATATACATACATTCATACCTTCATAACCTGCACAAATCAATCTAGATATAACTTCAAATGTGTCAATGAAACGTTTAGGTTTAGACTTTTTAACATCGCAGAGTAAAACACATCTTCTTTCCGCGCACCAGAGTCTTCCTCAGACTTAAACACAAGAACAACCACTCCAAGGCGCTCTTCAAACGGATGCAAATGATCTGGCACGAGAAGACAAGTGCGGGGGTCGGGGAAATAAAGGTTACCGTGTCACTCCCCGCGGCCTCAGCTCACCCCTCCACAAATAGAAATGCAGTGTCACCCAGCCAGAGGGAGGAGGGGGGAGGAGCACCCAGGGGTCCTGCACATGTGGATCCTGCTCCGCCGTTTGACCTACAGGAGACGTGTTATTTCATGCATACACCAGTCTTTAGCAGTGCAGGAAAAGACAGTTGTTGATGTGTCGACTGTTGCGTCCATGGAGAGCAGGAGTGTAGCCGGGGGCGCGAGTCCAACAGTGTGCGTAGAACCAGGAATGGGCAGGAAGAAGTGGATTGTGCACTTTGTGTGGTTAAAAAGGAGACAGCAGGAAAGAAAATGTCACCCTTTGGATTCTCAAAATGACTGTGAAGCAAAATGATACGTGAGAAAGTGTGAAAAGTATGGGAGTAAGTATGAACCTGGGGACAAACCTCCAGTTTAATTTATCAATTCATAATTATAATCATTTTATAATTTTCTTCTTTAACCATCATCTGTTGTCATAGAACAGTTTTCCCTTCAGATTAGTTAAACAAAACACTTATTCACTTTGTTTGTGTTTATTTGATTTTCATTTATAGATTAGGCTTAATAATTGTTAAATTATAAAGCAAAATATGTACTGGGGTTATTTGAAAAATATTTGATATTAGAAAGGTATTGCACAGCTATTATAAACATGACTACCTGTGTTAAGTTATTTAAGTTCAATATTGAATTAAAGACTGCATTATAGTTCAAAGTGGAATCTGACATACAAAATCCAGTCTTCCTTTTTGATGGCTATACTTTACAAATGAAATCCTAAACTAGATTTGAACTGCAGTGGATGCCAAGTACAGAAGTCCAAAATAATGACGATTGAGTCTGGCTTAGTCAAACGCATAAGTAGCCAGCGGTGATTTTGGAGCAGTGTAAATCAGACTCATGTGTAGAGCGAGCGTTGGCAGACAGCTGCTGCAGAGTGTGGGCCTGTAGGCCTGTATTACAATGAACTGCAGGAGAAAATGTACAAAATGCACTTTTGATAGCATGAAAATGAGTCTTGTTTTAATGATTTGAAGACGATCTAACCCAGAGGCTTGATTGGATAAGACAGTTGTGCTGTGGAATGGGTAGCAGTGGGATAAAGACCTTTTGGCAGACTGTCACAACCCTCTTGTTGTTTTGAATGGTTGTATTTCTGTTAAAAAGACTTAGAAGTTGGCAAGTTTCCTGGAATAATGTAAATTGAATGTTTGGCCAAACATGTGTTTGAATGTGCCGTTTTCTGTGCCGTATTAAACATGTGTAATACAACTTTCTATATCAAAATACTTATAAATGATCTTAAAATATAGTAATAATAATAATAGTAATAGTATATAAACAACATACTGTACAGTAGGCAAAAACACTAAATGCTGATTCCACCCTTTAAAGTTGACACAAAGTTATCTGCCACATTCACAGTCTCTGCTTGAGATGCATTTAGGATCTGCTGGGAAATCAAATGCTCGCACCGTGATGAGTTGGTGATCCATTGACTGTATCATTACACAGCGCCATTGTCCAAAGAGCAGCACACACTTGAACAGTGACCTGTCGGGCTTGTGTGTATTGATGAAAGGGATTTGTCTCTTAATAGAATTGTGTCTCATTAATTAGCTCTTAATTGGACGAGATGCCAACATGCAAATGCAGCATCGGGCTGAACAATTGCACAAGATTAGCTCATGGAAATGTCTTTGAGTGATGTTAATTTTGTGTTCGACTTAACATTGGGATGTACAGTACTTTCTTCAAAGTATGCAGCGTTTTTCACATTTATTAACTTACAGACAGGATAGAGAAAAACATGGAGTACCTCTCCGCTGTAACCTGTTACCATGGAGCTAAAGCATGACTGGGTATTAATATTTATTAACAGTATTTCAATCTATCAATCAATGTTTTATTTAAGTTCACAAAATGATGGTGAAGCCTGACTTGGAAATCATCCATCCATTTTCTACCCCTTTATCCATTTCTGGGTAAGGGGGGTGGTCAGAGATGCCACCCAGTACACACAGCACCAGCCCTTCACTGATCCTCCTGCAGGTGGTGAGTCCACAGGAGCCTTGGTCTTTCAGTGGGGCTTCAGGCTAAGTGGGGATAAGGATCACCCTCCCTGTACAGGGGGGATTCAGATATTTTTCATTTAACAACACCAGTATTAGAATTCACTTGTGTCAATATAGTCAAGCAATTGCTTGACTATATTGCTAAATTGCTTTTGAAAGCTTATTCCCACCTCTAAACGCATATGATGTTACCTTTTAAATGAGGCATCATAACACAACATCAAACACAAGATGTCCACACAATAAGCATTTCCATTTGGGTATCATAATTCAAGAAGGAACAGGTGAAATTAGTTTGCTGGTCTGATTTGTTCCTCTTTCTGCTGGCTATCTATTTATGAAACAAGTTCTAGGTTCAAGGTTCCCCAGGTTTGTTATAGTGTGTGTTATGTAAAGTTAGTTTGTAAGTAAAATTTGAAATACGGTAATACGTGAATATATTAAGTGAGAAGGAAATAAATTACCATAAAGCAAAGTGTTTTATATTTGTCATACTTATTCTGAGTTTGAGAGCTATGATAAAATCCTGCCATGTACCGGTATTTACTCAAAATGATTGCAAATCTGTCTTACTCTGTCTTTAGTTACTTCTTAACACAGCAACGCTCCATCAGCCCTCCCTAAATCAGAAATAAATACATTCATCAGAAAAGTTGCCCTTACATAGTTTTGCCAAAATCATTCAGCTCCAGTGATTGGCAGGTGAGCAGTAAAGTCCGGTGACTGGTCTTTTTTCTTCTAAAAGTTGTATTGGCACAGCCCACTTCTCTTCACTCCAGTAACTTTATTAGAGTACAGCTGAGAGGTTTGTATGTGCCACTGACCCGAGGATGCCAGAGTGCTCTCATTTCACCTGCCGCCGCCGAGTTAGAGCTGTGACCTGTGGAGGGACCATGGACAGCCCACCCCCTCTGAGCAGGGAGCTTCCATTAGAATGACACTGATGGATAGGAAACAACACAGGAGCCGGTGTCCAGGCAAAAACGCTTCACTTTTGAACCTATCCGGACCTGAATCAAGCTGTGTTTTTGTGGAATTGATAAAATAGCAGCTTCAGAACAAGGCAAAGAAACCAACCGTAAGCTGTGTCGATGCCAAAGTGTTTCTAATTTGGCGTCAGGAGAAATTGGGTATTCAAACTTCACACAATGCAGCAACAAAAAGGTTTCGACTTCGACCACCACATATACAGGGTTTACAGATGATGTTTTCAAATTTCAGGTTCGACATATCTCAGGTATAGGGAATCCAAATAGCAAAGAAAGATCCAGACCTGGAGTGTATTAGCCATATCAAATATTCCATAGATTAGTCCAGTTATAAACTTGGCCAGCCCTTTATCGTAGGACCCTTTTTGTTGAGCTACTGCAATAACGTTTCTTTTCTGGCAGCAAAGATGAGAAAAAATAACAATCTGTTTTTGTTACTTGACATGAGGCGTTTGCTTGGCAGTCGCAATAGAAGAGAAAGAGGATCCAACTCTTCTGGATTTCAGTCTAATACCGTCCTCTTTTTCACCAAAAGCTACTTCACTTGTAATTTATTATTATTCGTTCACGTTGTTCACTGTGGTGGTAAACTACTGCATCCACCGCTGCCCTGGGGCAAACTGACACAAGTGAGGGAAGTAGAATTTACTATCAGCGGCAAAAGGCATTAATAAATCATCCATCCATCCATCCATCCATTTTCTTCCCCTTAATCCATTTCTGGGTCGGGGGGGTTGCAGTCAGAGCTGCACCCAGTACACAGAGCACCAGCCCCTCACTGATCCTCCTGCAGGTGGTGAGTTCACAGGAGCTGAGATCTTTCAGTGGGGGCTTTTAGGCAAAGTGGGGTTAAGTGTCTTGCCCAAGGACACAACGACAGTAGTCATCAGTGGGAGTAGTGAAGTAGGTCTTACGGTGGGCTTGAACCCACAACCTTCAGGCCCAAATAACACACACAAAGATGTAATAAATCATGCTCTTTTCAAATACTTGAAC